GATTCTCCCCCTTATTTTTTTTCCTCTGGAAGTCACCGATTTTTGTATAGTCATACTTGTTCTAGATCCTGCTTGGTCTTTCTGGGTGAATGGAAAAATACTTTAAAAAAAAAAATAAATCGGGATTTAGAACTGTTTTGGTCAGCTGAAAACATCCCTCCAGCAGTCTTCTGTGGATGTGCTTGGTTTTCTGAAGCACACTTTAAAACTCATACTTTCTCTTTCATTTGAAAAAAAAACACATGTAGGTCACTAACTTTACGAGAAGCTGTTGGAATAAGTTTAATGTTTAACCTCTTGGTATTTCTTTAATTCTTAACTTTTTCTTGCTGCACTCCAGTAGGTGAACTCTTTACAGTTGGCAGTTGGTTTCACTCATATAAAGCCACTCTACATCTCTTTTTTTTTTTTTTTTTTTTTCCCCTTCCCTCCATACCATTGCTTTTAGGGCTTTTTGGCTGAAAGTAGTAATGGCTTCAATTCAGTGATGATTTTGTGGGGTGTTGGTTGTTTGGTTGGTGTTTTTTTTTTAAATTTTAGAAAACTTGGATTTTTCTTTTCACCCTCTGTTATAAAAGGATGTTATATACCAGCTCAGACACCAAAAACACCTTCTTTAATGGAAGCAAATCCTAAGCAGAAGGACTTGAGAGAGGTAGAAATTGGTTTTATGTTGTTAACTATCTTGGAGAAACACATCATCCTCTGGCTTTGGGTTTTCTCTCCTCTTTTCTGTTAGGACACTTGACAATTCTTTTTCACGCTCCTGGTATTCAGAAACAGAAAGCAGTTGCATTGGATGTTGATCCTTTTTACTTATTTTGGCAAGTGATTTATTCTGGGAGTTCACAGCTGGAGTATGACTGGAAGTTAGTGGGAAGAGCCCTCGTGCTTTGGTTTTCATTAAGCTGGCTTCCAACTGAGCACCATCTCATAATTTTCCTGACCCCTGTAAAGCCCCCTCCGCCTAGTCGCTGCTTACTGCTTTTGGAGATGAGCCGCATCAGAAATTCCTGTTGAAATAGGCAAGCCTCCGCAGCTCTCCCTGTCTTGGTGGGAATGCGTGATGTGCTGGAGGAGTTCGTTGCTGAGGACGGTCGGAGTGAAGGGGCATCTGGGGCCGAGCCTGGAGCTGAGCTTGCGTAGTCATGTGGTGTTGCCCTGCTGATGGCACCGAGCACCTACCTCTTCCCCCCTCCCAGTCTGCCAAATGGGAATTATGCTCGTGATTAATTGGCTTACAAAGTGCTGTTACATATTGCCCTCATTCCTGTTAAATACAAACCTTCCAAGCTCCCTGCTTCTGTCTGGCCAGGGGATGAAATCGTGAGGCTTCATCCTGCAGGTTCCTGCCAAAAGTTCAGTATAAGGTCAATGCCATTTTTCCTAGTAAAAATGTCACTTAATCAGCATTTCTCTAATAGCATCATGTGTTTAATATCTCTATGGCTTGGCAGGTCCTGTACATATATTTTTCCTGTCCCTGTGGAAGATGCTTGCATTGAAAAGGGGAGTTGCATAATACATTTTTGAGAAGTGATTTTTTTTTATCAGTTCCAAAGATACTGCAAGCTACAGACTCCTGGGGAAGTGTGTTGTGTCATGTCTTGACGCTGATACACCTCAAGAGGAGAAAAACTAATGTTTGGTAAACTGCTTGTAGTTATATTGACAGATTTTCATGTTAGGTAGGTAGTGCTTTATAATACCTTTATAAAGAGTAAAATATCCAATGCAATTCCCATTTAAAATGTTGCTGCTCGGTGAGGGTGGGGATAGGAAGCGGTGGGGCAGTATCGTTGTCATCCCAGGGAAGTACAGCTGTAGTTCCCGTGGCTTTTGGTGGCACGTGCATAACCCTGGCTGTGGAAAATACGCCTTAGGGCTAAGGCTTCTGTCTTCCTGTGCTGTGCTCCGGGCCTGTCTCGGGTCAGGAGATCAAAGTACAGCTGGCATGCGGGCATCTAGCAACCTGTTGGATCATGACTAGCCCTCAGGCTCCTGGTACCTTTGATTTATACCGCTGATAGACATGTTAACTGTTTCTGAGTTTCCCAATCCTATACCTCCATTCATGGTTTTGTAATATTGCTATCGTTGACAGGAGCAGTAGCTTAATACTGTGGCAATGCTTATAGGATGGGGAGCTGTAATCAATAACAGGTTTTTTCCAAGTTTGATTAATCATTTTGCTTGGATATTTCATTGACAAACCATTATTTACTTATTTTTTTTTAAAGCCACAGTTACCTAATGAGTGTTATCCTCCAGTGGGGCCCTCTTGAAGATAGCTGAGCACGGCTCGTTGGTACCAATATTGAACGCTATGCCAAGCCTGTGTATTTCTGCACTTGCACAATCCTCTTCTGGGGCCTGAAACCTGCAAGTTTTACAGACGGGAGCAAAGTGGGGTGGTGAGCGGGGCTCGGTGCTGGCACATCCTTTAAATGGGAGCTCCTGGGAGGGCAGCTGAGCTCTATGGGGTGCTGCAGGTTTTCTAGAAAGCCTCCAGTGAAAGCAAAAGCCTAAACTAAAAGGGCAATTTAATACTTTAAACTCTCTGGTAGGTCAGGCCTTCGCGCTGGGAGGTAAGCTGTTTCTCTTGTAGTAAGAATGCTTTTTCCAACTTTATTGGAGAGTGAATAGGATTGCTGTTTAGTTCGATTTAACTACTGCTATTCACCAGGGAGATGTTTTAGGGTAATCTCCAACACTCTAATTGAGGCAGCTTAAAAAAATTGATGTCTCCTGATGTCAGACAATGGTGCAGTATAGTGAAGATTTCATATGCTGCTGCAAATATTACCAATAAGTCATTTCTTCCCTCTTCCCCTAAAGCGTTATCTCTGTAAAATTGAGCTTTGTGCCTAGAAACAGCAAAGCCTCTGAGTACTTCCCAGAACGCTTCGTCAGCCTGTGGATGTGGTGGTGGTGTGGAGATCTCAATAAATTTTCCGTATTTCAGTTCATCGCTACTTGCCCATGGGTACCATAAGGTTTTGCTGTGCATCTTTGTGCTGTGGGCTTTGTCTTGAGAAAGAAAAATCCAAAACCCCCAAAAAACATATGTGTCTGCCCAAATGAAATTTTTTGTGCGCGCTACTGCTGGTGATAATTAATTTAAAATTGGTAGAGTTCTCTAAGTGATGGTTGGTAATCTCCTAGGCTAACACTTTCTCAAGACAAGTGTGGAGGAGGCTTCAAATCCAGTAAGAAAACTTTTCATGTGAGAAACTTGATTTAAATAGTCAATGTACCTTGTGGTGATTTTCCAACTTTACTTGAGCTTGGTGCATGCTTATAAATGTTTCAAAGTCAAGCCATTTGCAGAAGCTGGAGTAGGAGAAAATGGGGGCATCATTCAGAAAGCTCAATATTATATAGGAGCAATACAAGTATGAGATGCTCTGTTGGTGAGCTGGTAACCCACATAACATTAAAAAAACCCTAAAAAAAGTCCTGAGCAATCTGTTGTAGGAGGGTTATAAGACTGCACTGTAAGGAGATAACAAGGACTGAGTAGCGGTGTTACCTGTTTCTGTTGTGCTTATTTATAAAGGACACTGCAGTAGACTCGGGTTTCCACGTGGATTGGTTTGGCATCAGAAAAGAGCAGATTGCTTGCTTTGGCTTGCACTTGTTTCTCTGTCCCAGGAGGGTTAAAGTGACTGAGGAGCTTTCTGACATGCCCTCTCTATGCTTCTAATGCGTTTTGCTTTCATCTGGTGCATACAGTGTTTTATAGGCTTTACTCACCAAGACACGGAGAGGGGCGCGTAGTATTTTCTCTTTCCCTGGCAGCCTGCTACTGTCAGGAACTGTGCGTGTTTAGGACGGCAGTGGGGTTTTCGGCATAGGTTAGAGTTCGTGCTTGAGTGCATGCTTAAGTGCTGATTTGAGTAGGTTCAGAATCAAGTACTTCTAGAAGTGCTTCCATGGAAGTTGCGATGTTCGTGTATGTAGTACTAACTCCGGTTATTTCACTTGGTCTCGTACACAAAGTGTAATTTTGAAAGCTCAAAGTAGTTAAGTTGGTTCTTATTTGATGGTAGTGTCTTCCTGCCAGATTTTGACTTTCCACCCCCATATGTCTGATCAGTGTTGATACTAAAGAAAAACATGGCATGAATTTGCCTGTCCTTTTAGGAGGGGAAAAAAAAATCTTCTCTTCCCATTGGCTTACATGAAGACAAAATGGCAGAAAATGTTATCCTTAAATCAGAATAGAGAGTTTCAACTTGAAGGAGGACAGCTTGAAAGCTGTGGGTGACTATCAGCCAAGACCTTGTGGTAGAAGTGCTTGTAGCCATGTTAACAGTAGTGTGAAGCATGGTGTGCTCAAAACTACAAAATTAAAATGGACATATTAGAAGTACCAGTTGAGGGGGCAAGACTGAATTGTATTTATAAGAGTCATCTTGTATCCTATGCACTGAAAATCACCAGTGCATCCTTTGGGTCTCGTGTGAATACAGGATTTTAGCCTTTGGGTCTTTGAACTTAACATCTTTCTTATTCACTTAATATGTTACAATGAGAATAACGCAGTTGTACTTGTAAATATAATCCCAAATGTAGCACGATCTAGCTTTCAGGGCTGACTTCAAGATCTTGCAGCTGTTGGATGGCATCTATAATTTGGAAGCAGTGCACGCGGTATCTCTGTGGAGGGTACCAACCTCATTGTCTCAGTTGGTTTTGCTGCCATTTAATGCAGGTGCCATATCGGTATCTGTGTTGGAAGGAGTCTCTTGTCTACCCCTAATGCCAGATGGAAAGGGAGGGGAGGGGAAAAGGCAGATCTCGCTGGAAACAAAGTGCTACCAAATGCACTCTGAAGCCGAGTGGCTCTCTTGTTCCCCGTGACCGCTGCAAAGATGTCTTTGAAATAGGGAGATGTGGTTAGCTTTCCAGGGTGGCCACATAATAACTTTTTTTAAATTCCCAGGTAGCATACAAACCTGTTTTCTGTTGATGTAATGCTTTTATTTCTCTTTTCAGCTATGAAGCCGTACGCTCCAGCTTTCATTCTCCTGTGGAGTGCTGTCGGGATAGCGAGGGCTGCCAAAATCGTTGTTGTGCCGCCAATTATGTTTGAAAGCCATCTTTATATTTTCAAGACTCTGGCCTCAGCCTTGCATGACCAAGGTCACCAGACAGTGTTTCTCCTCTCTGAGGGCAGAGAGATTCCTCCATCTAATCACTATAGACTTCAGCGCTACCCAGGGATCTTTAACAGCAGCACCTCGGATGACTTTCTCCAGTCCAAGATGAGGAGTATCTTCTCTGGGAGACTGACAGCTCTTGAACTGTTCGATATCCTGGACCACTATTCCAAGAACTGTGACATGATTGTTGGCAACCGAAACCTCATGCGTGCCCTGAAACAGGAAAAATTTGACCTGCTTCTGGTAGATCCCAATGAGATGTGTGGATTTGTTATAGCTCATCTTTTAGGGGTTAAATATGCCGTCTTTTCCACTGGCCTCTGGTATCCAGCAGAAGTGGGTGCTCCAGCTCCCCTGTCTTACGTTCCAGAATTTAACTCGCTGCTCACAGATCACATGAACCTATTTGAGAGGATTAAAAATACTGTTGTTTATCTTATTTCAAGATTTGGAGTCAGTTTTTTGGTTCTGCCAAAATACGAAAGGATAATGCAGAAATACAAGGTTCTGCCAGAACGGTCCATGTATGACTTGGTTCATGGATCCAGCCTGTGGATGCTTTGTACTGATGTAGCACTGGAGTTTCCAAGACCTACGCTACCCAATGTTGTTTATGTGGGAGGAATCCTAACCAAACCAGCCAGCCCTCTGCCAGAAGTAAGGTTTGCTGAGCTTTACAGTAATTTCTGTGGTATCTGGTTGACCTCATATGATGAGTGGCAGTTTTTAAGCAGTGAATTTCAAATGGGATCTAGTGTCTTTTGTTGTTGCTTGGTGAAATAGACCCTTGAAGTCACTGGAAGTAGCTTGGGGTGGTGGTGAGGGGAACTGTCAGACACAAACTCATCAAAATGAGTCTTCAGTGGTTGCAGGAAGTATTTTGCTTTTGAGTAAGGTGCTTAATGGTCAGTAGAGGGAAAAACAGCGTACGCTGTCTTGGAAATTACATCTATAGCTTCTAACTAGGTGTGGGTTAAAATGGGAAGAAGGGAGAACGGATGAATACTGCTTATGCTTGAAAAAGCCAGCTGATAGGTTATACTATCTAATTTCATGGTATTAGTGTTTTTATGGAGAGTCTGCTTCCCTTGGTTTGATAGGTAAAAATGTCTTTAAAACTAGGTGTATATATAAGCATGAAGAAACTGTGTATAGGCCGAGAAATGGAGATGATGTGAGTTGACATAAATGGCACCACTGCTGTACTCGGATATGAATTTTTACTCTACACTTACTGGCCATCAGGTACTGAACTTCAGACTGAAATAGTAATAGTGACTGAATTGATTCCAGAAATCCTGGCTGCACAGATTAATGATTAAGCTTGATTACTTCAGTGTACCATGTGGTCTTTGATACCTGATATCCAAGAATGCCTCTTGGATATATCAGCAACACAATGGTGAGTGACAGGCAGACCCAAACTTCACAGAAAACCGTGTCATTTACACTTCTATTTATGTACACATAAACAAATAGATCTTGAGTTGGAGGTGATTATTAATGGATGCTTCTGGCTAGGTGATAAATAGGTAGGTAGACCTGCAGTGCTCAGCAATTTGCTTCTAAAAAATGCCTCATTCAGCCTTTGCTTTTTGCACGAAAACTGCCAGGCCCACTTTTCATCTGTTTTAGCCTGAAAATTTGTTGTGGAAGGCTGGGGTGTTTTCGTTTTGTTTTTTTCTTTGCACTGTTGGTAGTGTCTTGACTTAGCGGTACCTTTTTTCACCAACTCAGAAACAGACAATTCTCTGATTTGGGCTGCAGGATGCGGAGTGTCTGAGCCAATTCCCTCATCATTTTTTTCCCTCCCCTGTTCAACTTCAAATGCACCTGAGCTGAATGAAAGCAGGCACTTGGATCGCACTCTGAACATGCTACTGGTTATATCCCAACATATGCTATTGTCTGTTCTCCAAGGTGTCATCAGAGATGACCATAACAGTGCTGCTTCTAACTGGTTCTTCCTGTGTGTACATTAATGTGTTAGTGTTTAGAAAGCGTCAGGCTGCACAGATAGCTGGAGAAAGCAGACTAAAGGTAGCCCTGTGCTGTCTAAACAAAGTTCAGCCCTATTTTCTCCAGGAAAACCTTGCTAGCTGCATTGAGTTTCAGTTCTTCATTTTCCAAACCGGTATTTTCTTGTTCTGTAAGAAGAAAAATGTCTTTGTTACATGATAAATTTGGGCACTATGTCAACATTGTCTATTTTTTGTCTCTGTGGATTGGTCTTTAGGGTAAAAACTTAACTGTTCTCAAAAGCAGATACTTTCTTTGCTATAAAATGGAGTGGAAGAAAATGAAAGGAGCAGTTTTCTTTCAATGTTTTGCTATAGGGGGGTGTGTGTGTGTATAGATAGAGATATATATTTGTACACACATGTATGTATATATATTTGGAGCCTTTTGAGAATATTTTTCTGTGTACTTTCTAAATTTACTCTGGAACCACAGATGTGAACCTGTTACAATATCTTACGATGCAAGAAGGTGGAATAGTAAATAAAATGTTTAATATAACCAGACTGACAGTGACCTTGAAATAGACCTGTAGGTAGAGTACAGGCTGGCAAATACTTATTACAGTGGGGTGGGGGGGGAACCCTGTGATTATTTGTGAGCTGAGACATTATTTACCTTCTCTTCAGTTTTATTGGGCAATTCATTCTTAGTGTTCTAAGCACGGGAGTTGATTGAATGCGAGAGAGACAAAGTGAGTGTGTTAATCTCTTATCATATAATTTGTCCATGCCTAAATTGTTACGCATAATCCACTGTGGAATGTATTGTAGGTAAATTATTGGGCAACCAGTTTGTTTTTACTGAACAGTTAGATAAAATTCATAACTGTTGCTTTATTCTGGCAGATTAAAATTGGATAGCTAGTGCTGTGACTGTTTTCAGCTATTGCGGCACCTCCAAGGCAGGAGCCTTTGCTAATTTATTTTCTCCAGCTTTTAGCCTGGTGCATTAAGGTAAGCCAGAAGCAGAGCTGGTTCACGTTTCTGTGCTGGGCTGGAAATGGTGATGCTTCAGGAGCTGCCTCGTAAACGAAAGCCATGTTCCTGCCCAGAGATGATCATCAGAAAAGAGGGGCACGTGGCTGGAGACAACAGCTTTAACAGACGGATTTAAGTTACTATTACAAGCCATTCAGGTCTTACGTTCTCCAAAACTGCTTATAAGTAGCCTCATCCACTTTTTCTGTGATAGTATTAGGAAAAAAGTCAGTGTTGTTTTTTCAAGTCCAAAATACCTGCTCAACGCAAAATACCCAGGCACCTCAGCAGTGGCACTGCTGCCTTGTTGGTAGAGAGAGTTTGTTATTGTGTGGTGAGGGGGTGGTGGTGGTGGTGAAAAAGGAAAAAAGTAGTTTGTTTAACCGAATCAGAATTCCTATACATAACTGAACAGCTCTAGTTTTCTGCTAATAAGTAACATCTCAAAAAGAAAAGGCAGAGAGTAATAATTAAACAATCAAAGTGAAGACAATGGTCAAGGCCTTTTAAACTGTTACAGGATGGCTGTTGTTAGTTCTGGGGGATGTGTTTTGTCATTGCTCAGAGTCTGCACATGTGTTTTCCTTAAACTTTCTTTAAAGAAAAGTTAGAAAAACACAGCTTTAAGGGGGTGCTGAATATCCATGTCATGTAACAGTGTGTGTGTGAGGGGAAACAAACCTGACTCTTGCTTTGCTCTGCCCCTGTCCCATCTACGTTAATATTTTGGTTCAGGGCAACGGAAGGGTTTTGTAAATCCGACAATCATCCCCACTTCCTGCATGTGGGTTCCCTTTGTAGAGTACTTTTGGTGCAGGTAGACTAGATTTATTTTGGAGGATGCTACGCAGGAAGCTTTTTTTCACCTGCAAACCAAATGCTTGCTGGTGTCTGATAGGAGACATAAGGGTCTGTAGCGGCATTTGGCATTTTGGAGGGCTTTAAGGGACATGCTTCGTGGGGGGACGCTCAGACCGAGGACCACAATAGACTATGTAGCCTAAGTCAAGCTGCTGGAGCGTGCACAGTGTCTATGCAGAGCCCCTGCTGTGCTGGCACGGTGCTCAGGTAGGGGCAGGCTGCAGTCCCTGCTGGGACTGTATGTTAGCTGTGCATCTCGTGTGTCACCTGTGAAGGGAACTGGCCTTACCGGTGTGTATCCTTACTGCCTGGCACGGATCAGAAACCAGCAGTAGCTGATCATGCAGTTAGCTCGTGTGGCAGGCATGATTTTTAGCTGCTGCTGACCTCTGTAGCAATTATGGCTGCAGCGCGCAGCACCCGGCTGTGGTACGCGAACTGCAAATGTGTCTTTGGGTTTGCAGCCTGCCCAGATGCCTCGGGAAGCCTTTGCCGGGCTCCAATCCTTCTTTTTGCTCTCCCTCTAAGGCTGTGCCCCAATGTCAGTCTGCGCTTGGTGCAGTGTCCCTCAGCGCGGCTGCAGTGATCAGCATGCCGAGGAACGGGAGCCAAGAGCCAGCGAGGAGAGCAGCGGGTCCTTTGGAGGTCACGGCTCTGCCTGGCTCCCTGCGGTGCCTTGCGGCATGGCGCGGGCAGTTGGGAGCTTTCTCCTCGGTTGTAGCAGGGTTAGTCTTGCCCTTTACAGAGAAGGCGGTATGTCAGTCAGTGACTGAAATTCCCGATGATGGCAGATTTCCTCCTGTGCTCTTCTGATCCCTGCTGCAGGTGGATGAAGCCGAGCAGAACTTGTGTCACTGTGTTTCATCGTGGTAGAAGGGCTGATCATTGCTTTACAAAGCTCAGCGTAGGCAGAAGGCGGTTGTCAGTCAGTGACTGAAATTCCCGATGATGGCAGATTTCCTCCTGTGCTCTTCTGATCCCTGCTGCAGGTGGATGAAGCCGAGCAGAACTTGTGTCACTGTGTTTCATCGTGGTAGAAGGGCTGATCATTGCTTTACAAAGCTCAGCGTAGGCAATAGACAGAGCACAGTTAGGAGTCTTTTTCTGTGGTAGCTCGCGTGCTATTTTCGCTCGTTAAAGCATGTGGATTTAGACAGTTGTTCTTGTGTAAATAGTGTGCTCTGTAAAAGACAAGGAAACGGTTAATGTGGCTGCACCCATTACCCATAAGTGAATAAAATCTTACATGCACGTGGGAAAGACTCCACGGTTTTTATAGTTAACTTCAAAAAGAGTGTATTTTGAATTGCATAGAGGACAGCGCAAGCAGAATTAGCCTTAAAAGATCAAAAGCTAGAGACAGACCAAATATCAAGTCTTTAAGGTCATTGCTGACTTAAACTATTAAGTGTATGGTGTTACCTGGCAGTATTTTCCAGATAACTGGCAGTGGCCATTAGGAAAGGAAAAGGCTCCTCTGCCTCTTTCTTATTACACTTCTCCTGAGGGGTCTTGTGAAGCTGAATGAAGCTGGCCTTTTAAAGTAACGCACGTTTTAAGAAACAATGGGGAAACCTCTGCTCTGGTGTTTATATCTTGTGACTCGTTTGATATGGAGTTAGGCATTAATCAGCCTGATAAGAGATGTCCTTGAATCAGGGTAGAAACCCAAAAGGTGCTACAAGCCGATGCCTTGGGAAATACCTGGTCCCTGGTGAGGAGGGGGCAGAGGGCACTGGAAAACACCAGTGTTTCAAAAGGATTCCCTTCCATCAACTCGATGATGATGTAGGTGCG